GCAGGCGTGAAGACTGTAAGTAGTTCAGTCATGAGAAAAGAAGACTTGTCAGAGCTCAGACACTAGTTGTGGGTAAAACTAGTATGAAATAATCGATGGGTAAAAAAGAATGAAATAATCAGTATATAATAGAAAACAAACATAGTCACTAGTGAAATTGAGCACTCAGAGGTTTGTCTTAGAATGTAATATTCAAAAAGTCCTTACCAACCTATACAGCAGGGCACTCACTTAGAAGAACTGGTTGTCAACCATTGAGAAAGGACACCAGCTGCAGATAACAAGTGTGGACACTCTGGGTCAATCCACTGAACAGCAGCTCTGCCCACAAGGTCCACATGGATATTACCCACTAAGGAAATTCATTATATGTTTTTAAAGGAATATATCTTCTAGGAAAAATTTTAGAAGCTTTTTGAAAATTGAGCTAGATAATAAGACAAAATCCGTATACTTAAGAAATGGTTGATTTAGAAATAAAGAGCTATGTTTTGTTCTCAGAACACCTGGTATAAATGTAACATATCTTCTCTCCCTCTTTTTTTTTTTTTCCTCTCCCTCCTTTCACTTAAATAAAAACTGCTGGAGTACGTCTATAATACAGCATCATGTTTTTATTACAATAAAACTGTCTGATTTTATGCTTGTTTTTCATTCCATATCTTTAATCTTCCTCTTTAATGATAAAATAATAGGAAATTAATAAATAGAAGGGAAAATTAAAAAAAAAAATTATCTGCTGAGAAATTGCAATAGCTTGTTATTCTTATTTATGTTTCTAACAGTAGCTAGGGAGCTCTGGTAGAGTAGTGCCTAAGGCACTTGCCTGCTAACCAGAAGGCTGGTGGTTCATACCCACCAGCCACTCCTCGGAAGAAAGATGGGGCAATCTACTTCCATAGTGATACTGCCTCGGAAACTCAAGGAAGGGTTGCTATGAGTCGGGTCCGACTTGACGACACGTAACAACAACAACAGTAGGTAGACTCTTCTTTGCTTATTCAACTCCATGTAATGAAAAAAAAAAAGAAAAAGAAAAACTTTTAAGACAGAATTTCAGCAAATAATTCCAATAAAAAGGGCTTTTGAAGAAGCTCTATTTTAACTATGGTAAAAATGTCATGGCAGCAGTGTCTGGCCTCCTCTAATTTCACAAGAGGAGAGGAATATAATTAACAGAAGTGCACTGCTGATTTCTATGAGGCAGAAGTCAGACATGCTTCGACTCTCCACTCTTTTTATCAATTTCGACACCAACTCTACCTCCCATGACACTCTCTATTTCTCTGCTGGGTTCAATAATTTGTTGTCATGGCCATAGAGAACTCACAGACTCATGATTATGGGATTTATTAGGGAAGTTACAGATTATAATTCAGAATCAGAAATGACTCAGGATACTATTCTTTGATCAGGACAGCTTCTTCTCAGAGTGCCCATAAGCAAGCCTCTCTCTGGTCCTTGGCGTCTTGGCCTCAGTCCCTTAGCCTCTGCCCTGCTTGAGCAATGTTTACAAAGCTCTTTCAGCTCTGCTGATAAGTAGTCAAGGGCACCCCACTCTGCCAGTAAGCCTCCTACTCAAAGGCACTCAGCTTTCTCGTTCCGTGGCTTAGCAAGCCTAGCTCCAGAGATAAGTGCCTAGATGCATCCCACTCTGCCAGTAAGCCTCCCACATGAAGGCATTCAGCTTTCTCACTCCATAAGCTGGAGAGCCCCCCACTCCATCTCGTGCCAGTCTCTTGGTTCTGCTGCCTCTGCTGCTGTCATTTCTCTGCTGCTGCTTCTTGCCATCTCCAGTGTCACAGGTCTGTCTACCGGATCAAGGAGGTCCAGCACAGGGATCTAGGGTCCAAAGGACACTCTCCATTCTTGGCTCTTCTTTCTTGATGGTAGTGAGCTTTCCCCATTTTCCTGCCTCTGGGATGGCTCATTTTAAGCTTAACTGTATACCAAAACTGACTAATCTCCATATTAGGTTCCATGCACCTTATTTGCATAGCCCCATCCCCACAAGTGTGCCATGCATCTTATTTACATTATTAGCAAGCCATCCAATCCTCTTGGTGTCCCACAGGCACTTCACATCTTCATAATCCCACCCAGTCTTCTGGTGGGATTTATATTGGCTATGTCTAGAAGGGTCATATTAAGTAATTCACTGCACCACAACTATTCATGCAACTGGAAAGACAAATACTACTATAACAAATAATCATCATTTCTTAGAGTGGACATCTAAGACTTATATGAACTTTTCTTAAATTTTAAAGTGTCAAAATGTGTCTCCTAGATAGTTTATGAAAATGCACAGATGATATTCATATAATTTTTTTTAACACTTTCAAAAGTACCTGGGCTTTGGAATTGAGAGTAAATATAAAAATGTGTAGTTGATTATGGGTTCATATGAAGACATGCTGGAATCAAAGTGCTTTCCCAGCTTTTCACTACAGAATTCAGAATTCTAAGGCTTAAAGCTATGTCTCTCTTCTTAGTTCAGGATAATATTTAGCCTTTTTATACATCTTGAAATTTTACTTACAGTTTATATTATATATTTCTAGCCGCAAAATATGTGAGTACTACTGATAGTCCCTTTTAGAATGACCATCAAATATGTCCCAAGACCTTTAAATACATGTTCTGGTTACCTGGTGGTGCTCTGACAAGAATATACCACAAATGGGATGGTCTTAACAAACAGGAGTTTATTCTTACAATTTGGAGGCTTTAAGTCCAAGTTCAAAGTGCCAGGCTTTAGGGGCTGGGTGAAAGCCCCTCAACCTTTGGGTCCAGCTCTGCCCCCTGCTCCTGGCCCACTGGAGCTAGAGGCTTTTCTTCACTCAGACAGCTTCTGTCTGGTGAGGCTGAGAAGCCCCAAGGTTGACAAGTAAAAAGGCACAGTCCTGATGTTACCAAACCACACGGCAGGCCATTAACTTAAGTCTATTGTAAGTCCCAAGGTCAGCAGACAGATCGTAGCAAGATGCTGAGCAACGACACAGCTATATGCAGGGTCTAAGCGTGCCATAGGCTAGAGACCATTCCCAAAGCTTCTTCTTATATACAGGAAGCAGACCATATACCCAAAGGCAGCTACTCAGCTGTTCCCAGTAGATTCCACCATGGAGTTGATTACCAGTCTCATCATGTGGAATACTGCATCCAGGTGCCCAGCCACTCAACCAGGCCTAGCCAAGTTGACACACAAACAAAACCACCACAATACATTATCTCATTTTAATCTTTAGGAATTTATATAAAGTATGTAATGTTCCATTTTGCAAAAAAGAACATCAAGACAAGACTTAAAGTCAAGGACACACAGTTGCAAGAGCAAAGATAGGAATAGAACACAGGTCCATGGTTCCAAAGTTTACATACTCTCTCTACTACTAACTAAATAGTATGACAAAGATAAGGAACTAAATCTTTTCTAGACCAAACTTTCTCAAATAGATAGCTTCCAATATTTTTCTTCTTTATAAAAACATTTAATGGCAATGTCTACCTCAATATGATGTGAAGAAATATAACTAATGTAAATATTTTAAATTCACCTCAAACACCAAGAATTATGTCTTGCTTGCTATGATGAAGAAAGAGAATTTAAAATGAAATAACATTATTGTGTTCATTTGTAAATAACATATTGCAGCCAACTGTTTCTTAATTGCCCAGACTGTTGATAAATAATCCAGTCCTGCTGCTCTCCACAGACAATTTGCTTTGGATCAGACCAGGCAATTCAAACAACACTAATTACAGTGAAACCTTTTTATATGAATTCCTATTTATCATGGGGAAGAAAACCCCTAAACAAAAGATTAGGCACTTTTCTCTGATTTTTTCCCTGAAACATGACACCTATTACCTGCGCTGAAGATACATTACCTGAAAAAATTTTGGCTGAGTAAAAATGGATACAATTGTATGTGTTGTTGTTGTGTGCCGTCGAGTCAGATCCAAGTCATAGTGACCCCTCCTTGGGTTTCCGAGGCGGTATCACTACAGAAGTAGATTGCTCAACCTTCCTTCTGAGGAGTGGCTGGTGGGTTTGAACCGCCAGCCTTCTGGTTAGCAGTCAAGTGCCTTAGACACTACACTACCAGAGCTCCTCAATTGTATATAGTGTTGAAAATATTTGTATGCATATCATTGCTTTTACTGTTTATTGTGCTGTTATAAATTATGTTAATTTTATATATTTTAATTAAAAGATAGAACAGATATGGAAGCTTTACTTACAGCAGTATTTTCACTGAAATAAGCTGTGTTGCTACATGATTATTGACTATAACAGAAATTTCTATATTAATAGATAAATGTGTGTTTGCCAGAAAGAAACCAAGACTTTAGGAAGTCTTCACAATATCAGGGGATTTGCTGTAACATGGTATCATTGTATTTATGATTTTATGGTGGTAAAATGAATATTAAATGAAACAAAATTCCCAAGGATTACTCAAGAGGCAGCTAAGTATATAACATTTTGTACAGATGGTTGGAAGGCACAATTTTGCTCCATCACTGCATCCATATCCTTGAACGATTTCGACTGGAGACAGCATTTCTTTGAATTTTTCATTAAACCAGACGTCTTGAAATATGAATTCCTTTTATGTTTCTGTGAGTTTTGGCTAAAAGAACCCCAGTGAATAAATCATACAATACTACGTGTCACCAGCACTTGTGAATATTTCTGCTTTGTTATTCTATTCTCAGTAGAGCACCATTGATTATCAAACTCAGCGGAGAGCATTTTATGATCATATATCTCCATTAGCTCCTAGTTTGACTACCATAGATTTTTCTGGTTAAGGCTGCATTATGTATTAGGAAGCCTATCTCTTCAATACAAAGTTTGATTTCATTTTTTCTAAGCCTAGAACTCTTATAATGTATTATGTATAAAGATTCTTATCTTTTATATGTAAAAATAGGCTGCACTGTCTTTGTGTAACTGAAATGTTTGCCATCTTTTTTTTCTTGATTCACAGATAGCATATTATACTACGAAGATGAATCTCTACAATACAATGGCTGTCAGGGTAAATATTTCTTCACTTGTTAAACAAATGAAAAGTCAATTGTGCCCTGAATTCGTTTTTAATAAAATGAGCAAACCAGAATAATGTAAATTTGATTGATATGCTAATGAAAAGAGAGGAAAGGGTACGTAGTTAAAGTTAGTTAGACTAAATAATCTTGGCAGTATTAAAAATTAGAATGAAATGTAAAATGTGTAATTATGAATACTTATGTTTTAGAACATTATCTCCAAGCCATAACTAGAGTAAGAGCCTAAGTATTAATGAAACAATATATTAGCTTCCATATGTCATATAGAATATTGTGATAAATAGATGAACATGGTCCTGGAATATAAGATTCCTGCCCAATACAAATCAATTAGAAATTATTCATATAATTTAACAATAATAAATCCAGTTTCCAGCTTAGAAGTTGTATTTATATTGTTTCTGTGTTCATTTTTCTAATAGAAAGCTGAATTTAATGATTATGGAGCTTGAACTTGGTTTGGGAATGAGCACAACAAAAAGATTATTTCTTTTTTCTGAGAATAGATGCTAACATCTTAATAGCAGAAATATTTTAAATGGAGAGATTAAATGAATTTTATTTATAATCTTGAAACCTATGTTGCCTGATTGTATTCTCTTTCATTAATCTGTTAGTTCTTACTTCTGCTAATAATGGATTTAATTCTTGGGTCAGCAAGGAAATAAAATCCTTTCTGAAGTCTATGTGTTGAACAATGCCAGGTAAATTCACATTATCCTGACTACATGTACTGCTTTTGGAAGGGTTCCCAAACTAGGAGCAATCTCCAGTATGTATTTCTCCACCCTGTGCCTTCCTGTAGTTTGAGGGGAAAAAAAAGAAAGCAGATCTTCCTGCTTCTTTTCCAGAGACAGAGACAGATACTCCACTGTCTGCACTGAGCTATTCACTTTTCTCAGTAATATTCATATGGAAAAACAACCCGGCTTTTTTCTTATAATGGGAATTTAGGAGATTTTGATTTTGATTTTGATTTTGATTCTGTGTACAGTTCTGCCATAGACTTAACCTCTGAGCCCAAAACACCATCAGATTTTCTTTTCTGTTTGCGTCATGTCAGATGTTTCTCCAAAATAAAAGACAATAAATGACTGAAACCTAAAGCAGTTAATAACCAAGATCGCCCTAGTTAGTGATCAAATTAATGACCCTAGATCACCAGGGGAGATGAACACTCAGAAGATAGGGTTACAAAAATGCATAAACCAAAAACCAAATGCACTGCCATCGAGTCGGATACAACTTATAGCAATCCCTTCTTGGATTTCTGAGGCATTAACACTACAGAAGTAGATTGCCCAACCTTCTTTCCAAGGAGTGGCTGGTGGGATTGAATCACCAGCCTTCTGGTTAGCAGTCAAATGCCTTAGGCAGTATGCCACCAGAGCTCCCACAAAAATGCATGCTCTTGTTTATTATTTAGACCCAGATCTTCATATTGAACCTTGATCTGCTTTGAATTATTAAAATATGTTTACCTAGACTAAGGACTGCCAAAAGAATGGACAAATCTGTCTTGGAAAAAGTACATCCAGAATGCTCCTTAGAAGCAAGAATGGTCAGCCTTCATGGTCAGCGAAAAAGGAGAAGACCCTCCATGAGATAGATTGACACAGTTGCTGAGACAATGGACTAAAACATAGCCGAGATTCCAAGGATGGCACAGGACCGGACAGTGTTTCCTTCTGTTGTACATAGGGTCACTATGAGTTGGAATTGACTCAATGGTACCTAAGGACAACAAGGAGCCTTAATGGTACACTGGTTAAGCACTTGGCTGCTAACCTTAAGGTTGGTGGTTTGAAGGGGCCAGCCACTCTGCCGGAGAAAGATGTGGCAGTCTGCTTCCCTAAAGATTTACAGCCTTGGAAACTCTGTAAGACAGTTGTACTCTTTTCTGTAGGGTTGCTATGACTCCAATCAACTCAACAGCAAGTGTTTCTTTCTCTTTTTTTTTCTTCATTCTTTTACCTAGTCTAGGCATATGTAAGAAGCCTTCATCAATACAAATTACTTGGAAGCCAGATTTAGTTATTCCAACATCACACTGAAAACTCCATTTCCTAATAGTGTTATAGTTGAGTAGTCAACTTCTCTTTCATTTATATCAACTGACAATATTGAACTTTACTGGAGCCCCATGATCCTGGAAAGTAGCAAAGGTTAAGAAATCCCCCTACCCTATAGCATTCCAGGAAAGACTTATTGCACCTTCCTCATAGGACTTAGACAAAATTTGCTGATACTCCCCTGCTAGTTTACCTTTGACAAGGCCAGACATAGACTCTCCAAATACCAATACATTACCTCATAAATGATTAGTGGAACTGCTTGTCCTGCAGATCAACTGGAACAAAATCCTTGTTTACCAAACTTTTGGTTAAGCGTCTCTCCTTTCACCAGGTGCCAGAACACAGCTTCTCCCTAAGCATAGTCTGGCTTTAGGGTACAACATTCTCTAATCTACTATCTGCTCATAGATCCCTTTCATCCTACTTCCCTACACCTGGTTCTTTTTAGCCTCGTTTACTCCTCCCTATAAAAGAAAAGCTCTGTTTTGTTTTGTTTTTTTTTCCTGCTTAACCCTTGAAATGCTGGTGGGTTTGAACCTATAACTTTCTGGTTAGTAGTCAAATGATTTAGACACTACACCATCAGCGCTCCTTATAAAAGAAGAGCTCTGTTTTTTTTTTTTTTTTTTTTTTCCCCCTTTCCTGCTTAACCCTTGAAATGTTTGCAGGTTTTATGGGCAGAGCCTTCTCCCTGTTGCAGTAGTCCTCTTTCCCCTATGACAATAATCCCTGTCCTACCTTTGCAAATAATCTTTTCAAATAAAGTCCATCCTTACTAATCTGGATGTTGTTGTTAGTTTGTTTTTTGACACAACAGTCCTGGAGAGAAGAGTAGGGTTGGAAGTGCAGAGGGGATTAAAGTGAGCATTACCTAGAATTTAGAATGCTGCAACTAAAACCACACAGGATCTTCTGTAAGGCTAGATAGAGTATATAAAGACTATTGTGGGAAATTTATCATAGAAACACTCTCTACCAAAAAAAAAAAAAAAAATGTTAAAAGATTTCCTTCAGAGGTTTGTGATGAGTTAACTTGGAAATTGACTAGATATTTCAGTTTCCGAAACTGAGGAATCAAGAATGGGGTCACTTGCGTATAGGCTGTAAATGATTCTCTAATGAAGATTAATTTTTAGCATTGGCCGATCACAGTGGTGAGAACTGAATTTATTTGTAAGTGGACTTTGGTCAGTGTATTTGTAGGTGGACTTTTGTAAGATGGTGCTCTTGAAATTTTGCTCTCTGTAGGAGTAAATTTACGTACCTTCATATTGTATAGATCAGAAGTTTGCAACCCTAATTAGATGCTAGTAGCTAAAGTTTTACTTCTAATACCTACAACTCTGCTTTTTCAGGTCATAAAACTACCTAGTCACTCCACTCGAAATAAAACCCACCCAAAAACCCCACTGCCATGGAGTTGGATCTGACTGATAACGACCCCTCCTTGGGTTTCCAAGGCAGTATTACTATGGAAGTAGATTGTCCAGCCTTCCTTCCGAGGAGTGGCTAGTGTGTTTGAACCACTAGCCTTCTGGTTAGCAGCTAAGTGCCTCAGCCACTACGCCACCAGGGCTCCCTTTCGAAGTAACTGCCCTACAAATGACTTACCTATGGTTGACTTCAGTGAGTGTCTAGGAAGAAGAACCTCTAAGGTTCAGTTACAGATAACTACCAAAAAAATATGTCAAATAATATTCAGACATATATGTACTCAAGTCATGAGTACATATAAAGGACTTACACATACACATACACAAATAATAAGAAAAAGTGTTGTCTTTATTTGTGTCATAAACTGAGGCAACTGCAACATACACATTTGCCTACTTTTTGCTAGCATGATGACCAAATTATATCCAATTGCCAATAAGACTAGCAGAACATTTCTGAAAATAGATAAGGCTTAAAAACTTGTTTTTAGCCTGTTGTTGTTATGTGCCGTGGAGTTGGACCTGACTCATAGCGACCCCTCCTTGGGTTTCCAAGGCAGTATCGCTATGGAAGTAGATTCCCAACCTTCCTTCTGAGGAGTAGCTGGTGGGTTTGAACTGCCAGCCTTCTGGTTAGCAGTCAAGTGCCTTAGGCACTATGCTACCAGAGCTCCCATATTTAGCCTATCCATCTCTAAATAGATATGACTCTTTTATAATGAAAAAAAATTATGTATGTGATTTTGTAGGCAATAGATATTTGTATCCTGAGTGGCTGCATTTATTTTTTAAAGGGTCACCTTCTCTTTAAAGACTTTATGATCTCCTTCCCCATGTAGAACTAATCACTTCGTTTTTTATGTCCCTATTTTATCATGTACATACCTTTGTATAGAATCTGTGATATTTTATTATCCTTACTAATTTACCTGCCTGTCTCCACCCCACCCCTAACACACACACTGTAAGTCCCTTGAGGCCCACAGTCTTTTCTGTATTTCCAATGCCTGGCTTCTAGTAAGTAGGTGATTAAATAAATATCCCCAAGTAAATCAATGAATAGTGGCTTATTCTTTTCTAAATAATGAGTGTGACAAGAACTTTACCTAAAAAATTTTTCTCTAAGTACCCTTATTGAAAATTATTTTAAGTTTTGCTGGAGGATCGTTAAGTCTTTGTGATTACTTGGTTAGGCTATATGATGTGGATAAACTGGACATGGTAAGGTAAAATTTGGTTACTACTGTTCATATGAAAATGGACACCCTCATTAGTTTTAGAACCTTGCTAAGTATCAAGAAATATATAGGTTTGAAGGAGGCTGGCTGTGATCTGAGCTGCTGTCAGAACCCTCAGTGGGCCCTTACGAAACCCCTGTTGCTGATTTGCTGCTAGGCTAGTGATAGCAATTAAAATAGCAATAAATTGCTCAGTAAATTTTTATCTGAGCTCCTCCTGTTT